TGAACATCTAGAACGCAGTGAAGGGGTCCTTCAGTCTCGATGGAGCCCCAATCACTGGCGATCGTAAAAGACAGAATTACCACTAGTAATTCTACAACGTGGAGGAAAAAAATAATGCCAGTAAGAGAATGATAGTTTGATAAAAGCATCTTCAAGTGCATTAACAATTTCCACTGAGGGTGCAAACTGTTTCCAGACTTGGAAGGCAGCGTTCAATCATTCCGGGCAAAGGAGGACCCTTGAAAAAAAAAGTAATAGCAAAAAAAAAAGAAAACAAAAAAAGGGTCTGAACGAAAAGTTTTAAAATTGAAAAAAAAAGGGCAAGGGATATATAATTATTATTAATCATTATATTCAAGAATTAGGACAAGGCAGTGGGGCCTGTATTCTAAGCCTTGTTTTCCTTTTTTCCCGATATTTCTGGTTCTTACGTATTCTTTCCAAATATGGCAATATTTTATTTTGCCTTTTCTATCAGCTTGCCTGACTGGCGGTAGTGCAATAGACTTTCCCAGGTTAATCACAGCGGATGGCCTGACTGGTAATGAGGATGGCACTGGCTGGGTTAAACCTCTCAGTTGACCTTTGCGCCTATGATCTGTCACTCACTTGCTCAATGCTACGGATGCGAGGGCTTGAATGCGTACACTTCTAGGTGAGTTGGTAGCAGCAGCATTTGTGGTCCTGATACTGGGTATGGAAGTGGATCCAGGCCCTCGCGCATCGCCGCCTCCTCGTCAGATGAATCCTAAAACAAATGAGGCTTTTTGCCACATCCTTTGTCTCCAATAATGGTAACTATTTGGAGCTAAAATTGAATTAAGAGTCTAGTGTCTCAGCTCATTGTCATAAAGATGTCCTCCTTTTGAAGAAACCCTTTATTATTTATACTTTACTTTATCATTTTTTTCTATACAAGTTTTACCCATGACACACACCCACACCCACGACTTACCCACCTACCACCTCTACCCACTACCTGTGAAATTAGGTTTTGCCTTTACAAAAGGGTAAACTGATGGACGGGGAAAAACTCTAAACTCTCTCTGGTAAAGGCCTTTTCGTGGGGACACTTGCTGGCTGCGGGAAGGCACTGAATCTCTTACACCTACTGAATACCCTTGAGACAATGATCACAACCGAACTTGGGTCCAATGTAGAAGTTTAATCCAAGGCTATATTGCGGGTACAGTCAAAACATAACCAAAGAAAATCTTACAAAACACTGGCGTAAATACTCTAAGCTGATGATGCGATACGGACTAGGTCATGTACTAGCGAGGTAAATTACAGAACACAACAATCACTTCTAAAAGACTATTGGTGGAAACCTAAGCTTGTTTTAAAAAATTAATTACTTCCAAAAGCTACACAGGTGGATAACGGCTTCTTACAGGTTGATCACAGCTTGAAGACTAAATACAATTATGACTTGACAAATAAGTTTACGCTCAATAAATCAACAAGTTGTTTACGGCTTAAAGAAGTTAAGACTAAAGAATAAATGATTCCTACATTGGCTTAGCCTGCGTAGCAGGTGCTAGGAAATAAATGGGCAAAATGAAAAAAAACGCGCGCGAGGGAGACACGCGAGGGGAGAGGGAGCGCCTGCACGGAAGGCCCCCGAAAATTGTTTCAACTCACACTCTATGAGTGTGGATATTTCCAATTGGTCGAGAGACTCCCGAGGGAAAAATTAACCGCGCTGGGCGAGAAAACTGTCAATCAAAGGAAACACGAGACTTAAATTATAACAAACACAGAGTTGAACCAACATGGATGATGACTTATACGAATCGTGTTTGGAAGAAGTGTTAGCAGCGTTAAAAAATAAGGGATTTAGCTTCATTTTAAAGCGAAAGCAAGATAGTGCATTACGCCATCTCTTCAAAAGAAAGGATGTGCTTGCAGTTTTGCCAACAGGATTTGGTAAGAGCTTAATTTTCCAGTTGTTGGTGTTCCTGGCAAAGGCGAAAGGCCGTCGAGAAGGCAGTGAAGGTTTTGCTGCAATTCTCGTTATCACGCCACTTACCAGCATAATTCAAGATCAGATCTCTGAGATCAGTTCGATGGGATTATCTGGATGTAATTTGTCTGAAAAGTTGGAGTGCTTGGACGATATTCACAATGGAAAGGTTGACATCGTATATGCATCAGCAGAAGCTGCCACAGACAAGAGATTTGTTGAATCGTTGAAGAAAAAGAATTCCTTGTTCAACAAGAATTTGGCGGCATGTATCGTCGACGAAACTCATACTGTCGAAACCTGGACCGGACTAAGGTAAAATAAAGGAAATTGAACTTTTTCATGGCAAAAGCTCGAATCTGCCTTTGTGTATTTTGTAAGCGTATCTTTTTTGGTATTTCTTTCACGTGGAAATTTATCTCACCAGTAGTTTCTTTGCTCTTAGGTCAGATAATTCCTCAAACAAGAGTGGAAAACAAGGGAAGGTCTTCCGTGCTTCTTTCGGAAAACTGGCCACATTGCGATCGTTTTTCAGAGAAGGTAGGATGTCAAATTTACTGTATATATTACACGCCACTGTATACAAAGTACCCCCACAAAATGTGTTGGCTGCTTTCCTTTCCTCCTTCGGTAGTCTTATTATATATCGGTGAAAAGCCGTCTTTCGGTTAAACCACTGTTCAACTTAGTTTGTTGTAGAAGTAATTTCTTTTATTCTCCTACATGCATTCTTACTTTAAATTCTGTGAAGGGATTTTACACATACAAGAGATATTTTCTCCCACCTCATTATTGCAGGTCTAATATTAAACACAGTTGGCAACAAGTGACTTCATATCTTGCGTAAATGAGAACGAAAATCAAGTTCCTTTATTTCTGTGGTTGTCAACAACTATTATCCTTCATAAAAAATCCATAACCTTATAACCTACAAAGTCTTGAAATCACTGTCAATAACAACTCCAAAATAGAAGACAGACTTTGTAGGTTTTGACTGTAGTTTCCAAGAAAATCATTAAACGAAAAATGGTAATGTTTATTTCCAAAGGTACACCACTTGCAGCCTTAACAGGAACTGCTGACAAAAATACTTTGACAGTTGTATCGAACAAACTTGTCTTGAAACAGCCCTTGGTGTTGCGCATCAGTCCCAACAGGAAAAATATAAGATTTAGTGTGAAGAAAAACAAGAAAGAACATCTTCTATCAGAACTTGACTGGCTCACAACCTGCATCAAAGAGAATGGAGATTCTACGCCAAAGACAATTATTTTTTGTAACACTATGAATGAAATTGCCTGTGTTACAAACTATTTAATGTTGAAACTTGGAGTGAAAGCATTCTCACCCCCACTTCCAAGACTGCCTTGCAACTGCCTCGTTGGTATATACCATTCTACATCATGGGGACATAACAAAGAGCGTATAATTGAGGCATTAAAATCCAATGGCAAACCTAGAGTAATAGTTTCATCCTCAGCCCTGAGCATGGGGGTCAATTTCCCAGATGTGAGGTATATTATTAACTGGGGACCAGCTCGAAATTTGTTGGACCAGCACCAAGAGATTGGCCGTGCTGGAAGGGATGGAAAAAACAGCTATTCCTTAATTGTCTGTCATGAACAGCAACTAAGTCAATGTGAAGCGAGCATCAAGCGTGTTGTTAAAACTGATGGTTGTCTGCGTGTAGCTGCCTACAAGGAGTTTGATGAAAACATTGAACCGTTGAAACCAAATCACAACTGTTGCAGCTACTGTTCATATCTATGCAGATGTTCTGGAGATAAATGTTCTGCCGAAGTTCCTTTATTTGAACGTGACCATTCTGCACAAGCTCCTCAAAGACAGTGCTTATCTAGACCAGTCAGCAATCAAGACAAGGCTGATCTAAAAGCGGCACTTATCGAACTACAAGAAAGGATGACAAACACAAAATGTTGTGGGCAAGTTTTCTCAAGCCAGTTAGTAGAAGATGTGACTCAAAATTGTAACCATATTTTTACAGTTCATGACATAGTTAATACTTGTCCAGTTTTTTCTGTTGACCATGCATTAAAAATTCTGGAAATAATTCAAGAAATTTTCCTTGACATACCAAACTTTGACGAGTCTATTGAAATGTTGCAGGCAGCAAATTTAAGTGTAAAATCAAATGAGGACTGGTTACCACTGGAGCAACTACTGGCAATGGAACTGGGTTCTGATATTTGTTTTGATAGTGATAATGAATTACCAGAAGATGAAAATCTAACAATGAATACATTTACAGAATGACTATGTTAAGTAATGTCAAAACCTGAGTATCTTCGCTCATAACAATTATGTTCAAGACATTCCAGTTGTCCCTACATAGGTTGAAGTCTGGAGATCCATAATTTATTAATGATTAAATCTGTCAGATCTGTTAAAATTCATTAACAAAATTCAAATGAAAATAAGAATGCATATACGTTTCCTGTAATAATATTTACCCAAAGCTGTAGAATCAAAGAGCTTTCATGTAGGAGGCAAGGAAATGAGCCTCTTGGTATTAGTTAATTAAACTTTGCTTTTCAAAAATCCGCCACAAAATCATGCTTCAATTTTGTAAATAATCTTGTTTTCTACAATAAATTCCTTGACCTTGGAATCTGCTGGTAAGACTTATCTTATTCACAACATTCACCACTAACATAACCTAAATTTTAAAGGGGCTATGTCACAAGGATATCGCAGTTGCAGACCACTGTTGTGCTAAAACATTATTTTGTGCCTTTACTGATACACAACGTAAAACTCCGGTAAAGTTATGAAGAAGATACCAAACAAATTTTGTAACTATTTCTGCTAATATGTAAGCATAGAATTAAACATTTCATAGCAATAGACAAATGGAAACAGTTTTGAAGGCTAACTATAGTCTTGATAACAAAAACTGACCACAAGTTTTGGAATTCAATATTGATATCACACACCTTTTAAAAAGACAGCAACTACCTGGGTGACACAGCCCCTTTATGTTTTTGGTTCAACTACCAGTAACAATGGTTTCTGACTAAGGCTGATAAATTGATGCCCATGTTTCAATCAAGTCTGTCATCCACTTGTGCAGGTCTCTGTAATCAAGGCCAGAAAGAAGGTCCGACTTAAATTCAGGAAATGATGGGTGACCTTCTCTGCCCCTTGTATATGTGAAAACTTGCTTTGAAACAAGGTCCTCTATGATTTGCTTAACAGCCTCCTCTTTACTTGCAATAGAACGACTTGCAGACTTGTTTGACACATTACAGTCTCGGTCTACACCTGCCAAGATGTCATCAGTCGGGTCGACAATTCCAGCCAGTCGCATTGCATTATGTTCGTTTAAATTTGGACCAAGGTTGCGCCACAGGGTTTTGATACTCAGGTTCTTCTGCTCCTTTAACAGGTCAAGGGGAATGTTCTTCCCTTTACCTCCTGTAGTGTTAACCCCTCGGTTCCACTTTGCTCTGTGGGCCTCAAACTCACTGTAGAGAGCACTCAGTTTTACCAAGTGAAGGAGAGTTACATAAGCATACTTGTGGTGGCCCTTGGAGTTGTAGATCAACAGCATGAGCCGGTAGAGCTCATGTAGCCTTTGACCATCACCTTCTTTTACTGCATCCTCAAATGCCATTAAAATCAAGCCAAATGACATCTTAGCCTGATGATAATTGAACAAATAATCTTCATCTTTGTTGACATCACTTGATTTGGATGCTGTTTCCGCTGGCTGAAAATCGGGGTGACTCTGATGTTCATGCCTAAAAAAGCAGCACAGATTTGACATAACATTCATAACATATAACATAAATGTGGGAGACAGAAATTTTTGGCAGACAGCTGTACATACACATCAGTTTTATTCATGCAAACACTTCTCCAGCTTTTGTATTCTTTTCAAGTTCTTTAAAGAGATAGTTACTTAAATTTGAGCTTAAAAATTTCTCAGACCAGGAAAAATTGTATGATTTTCTTTTTTTGTTTTTCTTTTTCTATGCTCAACTAATGGTTGTTAGTGAGCTTAAGCAAAAGTGTTTTTGAGCGACGGACATCAACCAATAGTGGGCTTTTTGCATCATTGGGCAGTGGTTTGGTTAAAACTCTCAGGTAAATTGTCTAAGAGAGAAGTTCTTTCTGAGAGTTGGATGTTAGTGACTGCAAAATAACGTAATAATGAACGTGTTTCAAAATGTTCACCATGACAACTCCCATTATTACTGAGCTCTTAAATAACTAACCTGTTCCGTGTATGGGTGGTGCTGAACACAAGTCCACAGTTATTACGGCAAAAATAATAACCAAATGAATCTCTTTCATCTGCCCTATAAGCTTCCAAGCGCAGTTGATGGTCTGTGACTTCATGTCTGTATATAAAAAAAATGGCTTTTTGAGACTGTGATACTTAATGATATATTTTTTACTATTCAATGGTCCTATCCTTTTTTGTTCACAAATTACATTACCTTCTTAGCAGTGCAGGATACAGACCTTCAGATAGGGATAGGATGGGCCGGGGGGCCATCCAGACTCTTAGATAAGGAGGTGGCCCGTCTCCCGAAAAAATTTTTTCAGCCCTGCGGGCCTTAGTTTGGATCCGCCACTGCTTAGGGGGTAGGATTATGCAGGACATCCAAAAAAAAAGGTAAATATATTTCAAACCAATGACAAAGTTGGAACAGAACATTTCTCTTTTTTGATCTCTACATGGCTGATTGTGTGAGAAGATACATCTATCAAAAGGCTTTCTAGATTATTACTAGACAGCATACATGTAAGTGGAAACTAGGAAAAAGCTTTTGCCTTACCTCACTCTTCTTGAATGTAAGAGATAGCTCTTATCACAGCCTTCAAACCGACACATGTGTTGTTCCCTGGTAACTTGGTCCAGTTCAGTAGTCTGCTGCACAAGGGACAAAAGCTGATCTGAGCGGAGAACATACAACTCTACATGCCGCATGCATAACTTTAGTAGCCATTTGCCTTTTTCATCACTAGTTGTATCTTGACTAGGAAATGGACAGGTGGGTGTGTCTGGGAAAGCAAAATTACCAAAAGGTTACAATAGTTGTTGATTTATTGTTCATCTTATTAATAATAGTAAATGATTATTATTAGACCTTCAACAAGAAGATCCACAACCCTGACAAATTAAAATACCTATACAGTAGGCCCTAGTTCATTGAAAAAGTGTAAGGAATCCTAGTTGAAACTTTCATTAACTCTTTGCAGGGCCAGGAGCACTTAAAGAATTAATACTTTAATAAAGGAACTTCTCTCATACCATTAACACTTGTCATTCCACACATGTCCATGAAAGACGCACAGATGTGAGCTTCCATCTCTCTGGCATGGAAGTCCTTGTATTCATTGTAATGATTTTGTACTCCCTTTGCAGCATTTGTTTTCCCACAGCGGTTCATACTTGCTCGGGATGTTCCAACCTCAGCAGCTGATTTATTGTTGACAAACATGTCAAATTCAGACTGTGATTGATTCAGGAAAAGAAAAGAAAAAGAATTACTATTTTTTATTTTTGTCTATTTTTTTCATTTATTAACCAGAGGCTGACCACTGGAGAACTAAAATCTTGAGATCCTGATATTTGCTCTATTTGATTATTTGTACATGGTAATGAAATGGTATTTATCACTGATTTAATGTCCTTAAAAATAGAAAGTGTATAGCAAATGCTTAAAAATAAAATTACAATTTATTATTTTTTGAAAAAGATTGGCTAAATTCAAAAGTACAAAAAAGCTAAAAAGCATTCTTTCATCCAGAGATTTGGTAACCCACTGGAGACATGTGACTTTTCGGGGATAATGGCATTATTTATTTATTTTTTTAATGGGCTTCTACGTGCATACAAAAATCCAGTTAGTATTAATAACAAAATTGTTTCAGTGCCTACAACCTTGTATAATGTGACCTTTGCATGCCAATCTGCATGTTCAGTTGTCAAGCCCTCCAATCTGTCATACTGGCTCTCTCCATCTCTGAATGTCCATTGTACATTTCTCGCTCTTTCTTCTAACAGTTGATCGCCATGCAGTGGAACTGCTGAGAGTACTGTTCGATTATTTCCATCTTGAACACAGGGCACATATTTCTGGTGGAAGCTCTTAAGTATTTGTGACATGTCAGCAGCAACATTTGGGTTCTTAAATTCCATACCAAGGGAACACTGTACAAACACAAAGCAAAATACAAATTTTTAATGCAATTTATGTCTGAAGGATGCTCAGAAGTAAAATCAATATTTGTAGACCTGTAGTTATATTGACAGGTTAGGTCACTGGATTTGGCAAAATACAAAAATAAGATTAACCAAAACTAAATAATAAACACATAATTTATTTGCAGACTCACAGTCTCTGATTTTGATGACATTTCAGCAGAATATGTGTGTGGTATGTGATATACCACATGGGCCTGATATGGTCTAAATGCAGGTAGAAACTTAGTCACTATTCGGCTGATCAGGATAGACCATTGCAACACAAGGTTTTTCTGCACATGTTCATCTGGTAACAGCTCCACAAGCTGTAGGTTCTTGACATCTTTCTGTGGACCGGTATCATCGAGATTGGGATTGAGCACCCTATCAACAACAGCAAACTGGTGCGTCCAGTGGAGGGACCGGTTCACATGATCCTTTCTCTGTACACAAGCTGTAATCTCGTAGTCAATATTATCACTGACAATTCTAAAAAAAAAAAAAGAGAACAAATTGTTCATATCGATTCTCAATATTCGAAGACACAGGGGTTGACAGTCCTGACAAAAGGGTCTTGAAACTGCTGTCAGATATAGTGAAATCAGCTCGCCCCAGTTGTTGAACCGTTAGATAAAGCTATCCACTAGATAAATCACTATTTAGCGAATAAGCATTTGCGAAACCAATTGCACTATCCACTGGATAGAGCTATCCACCTTTTGAACAACTGGGGTCAGGTTGTTACCCATAATGGGGTCATGGAGGAGGGATTTTATGTTTTGGTTTCGGTGCCCCTATGGGCGCACCTTCAATAAAAAATATTAAGATTGCTTAGTAAGGACTGTCTGTGACTGCATATGGAACGAGGTAAAAAAAAGGTACCAACAGGAAAACTCCAACCTCTAAAAATAAAAAATAATTTGTTTCTATAAGTGTTCAGCAGACAAATCATATTTGTTATCACAAAATATTCAAATTTTTCATTTGCAATGATGTTAAAACATATTTATTTTGTTGGTCATTTCTCTATTTACAAATTTCTTTCTTTTGAATAAAATTTATTTTTTTGCTACTAGCTTCTTTATGATCAAGAACTAATTTTTACCTGTACAGAGGCAACTTTTCCTCCTTTAACTTATTTAGTGCCCAATTGATGCACCTTTCTAGGACATCCTGTTCCGTGAAAGACGCCCCTTCGAAATTTCTTTCGGCTTCAAGTAAACTCATTGACCTCTTGTACGTTTCATGGCTGTACCACTTGTATTCACTAAGCTTAACTTCCTCCAGATTAACGTCGATCTCCATATCGTCACTTTGAAGATCTTGGATTTGCTGCACTTTAGTCTCCTCGATTAATTTTCTTGATGTCAGGTTTTCTTCGATCGTTTTCTTCCAGAGATGAACCTTATGGTCAAAATTCTCTCCCATTTTATGATGCATGGAAATGACCATGTCGGGAGACATGGAAATGCCAAGACGATTGAGTCTCAAGGCATCCTTGCTGCTGATACCACTATGATACAGTATACAAGAAATCCTGTATGCAACAGCAGACATGGTACTATTTCTCGTCCTGGCAAGCGAAGAAGTGGCAAGCGTTATCGCGTTGATGGAGCTTAAATCGGACGCGTCCTTGCAAGCCCCAGTGACGACAGAGTAAAATATCGGGCACTGAACCGAAAGCTCCTTAACAAGCGCTCTGTTGGAAAAAACTCCAAGTTGATCTCGGCTGGTTATCTTCAGGCAACTGTCGAACTGACTGTACTCAGTGAACTCTCGGTTGGCTTGTTGTTGCACTGCAGCCAGAAGTTCTGCGAACAAATCTCGATGGTTAAACATCGCTCGTATCGCAGGGCCCCAACGACCCAGAGCGAGATACATGATTACAGACTGCACTTCGCCATCAAACGTGGATTGTGCGCGGACGTGTCCGGAAGGAAAAGCAATTACGACTTTGATTTTGGAACCACTTGACGTGTCCAAGTCGTCCACGTTTAACTTCGACAACATAGCATCTGATGCTGAAATCGCTTGCACAGAATCGGCGATCTCAGACTCTGAACGATTTCCTTTGTCAAAAAGCGTCTTTTTCGATCAAGGAACGCGGCCTTCGGTCTGCTTTGACGGGGAAGTCACCCGTTTTTGTTTCCTGCTAGCCTTTCCAGGGCTTCTTCCCGGAGTTAAAACAGCTCCAATCTTTCGTTTAAACGTTTCACCACCATCGCCTTCACAAGAAACTTCAGCAAGTGCCGATGAAACAGAAGTAAACGTGCCACATAACTTTAAAAGCTTTCTTCCACACGGAGAGCAAACAACTTCTGACACTCCTTCAATTTTCTGAACAGATATCCCGATCTGATGGAGACTTTGAGCTATCACTCGACCATAGTCATTTTCCCTCGCAGACGGCTTGAATAGATTCATGTAAGACGAAAATCCAGATTTCTTTGTAACCATAGGCCCGTAAACTATTCGCAAATTTTTTTTGCATAAACGACAGAAAATATTAGGATTTCCCTCTTTTTGTTTTGGTCCGCGATTTGATTTTGCTTGCAATACACCGCCGGAATTGACCGACATGTTGCAGAATTTCCCGCAAATGTGCGTTTCAGTGCACGAAATGATATCAGTTTTCTGTCAAAAGATTTGACAGATCACGCAGCGCTGCCAAGTAATTGGATAGGGGGCGGGAAACGATTTTCGGGGGCCTTCCGTGCAGGCGCTCCCTCTCCCCTCGCGTGTCTCCCTCGCGCGCGTTTTTTTTTCATTTCGCCCATTTATTTCCTAGCGTCTGCTACGCAGGCTAACATTGGCTTTTCATATTTTTACCAGCAAAAGCAAAATAACTGAATAACAATAAATCCTCTCTTAACATACCCACGACATTTAGCAAGAAATTTGATTCCTGTTATTCTTTCATTAAAACAGTAACCCAAATGCGTTAGGTTGCCTATTAAAGCTATCTTAGCACAGATTATTTGATAACCATATTTGACACAATTACATTCAGACCTCCTTTTTAGCAAACAAGTTGTACAGGGAGAACATCAGCTTTCAGGGTGCGTTTTCCAGGCTTGGGCGAGCGATAATGCTTCAGAACCTCACTTCTTTAAGAACCTGGCTGAGAGCATCCGCCTCTAATCGACCAGATTGTCATTTCAAAGCCCTAAAGAAATGTCTTATTACCGTTGATATTTTGAAGCCCGAGTTGCAGCGGAAGGGACCGACAAAATTCATGGAGTCTTGTAAAACCTGTTATCTAGTCATCATTCATATTACGATTTTTATTTCATTTATTTATAAACTGTAAACTTTCCTTGTCCCGCCTTGAAAAACCTTGCTAGCTGCGGGCAATAATTCTGTAATTTTATTTGTTTATTAACAGTTTTGTTGTTGTTGTCATTGCTCTTGAGGTGAAGTGTGCATGATACTTGCATTCCCTGCCCCATCACATTTATCTTTTTCCTTATTTTCAGTCATTCATTTTCAACAACAGGTAACTCGCAGTTTTCTCTATCAATTTCCCTAGAAAAGAAATTGAATAAAATGAAAATATAACACGCAAATCGCCTTTTTGCCATTTCCACTCCAGCTTTCCACTAGAAATAAAACTGCTTCCCCGTAATATTCAGGACCATAGAGGCACGCGTGGACTTTTAATTAGTGAAACCGATCAAAAAAGTTCCAAAATCACCTATACGGCCAGCCGGTTCTAACTTTTGACAAGCGCCAAATTTGCGAAGAAATTTTAAGAGTTACACTTCAACGTGATAAAGAATTTACTGAGTCTATTTTTTATTAACGGTTGTATAACGATGTGTAATCTTAAAAAGCGTTTGATACGCTTGGCATTTTGAGTACTCCTGCGAGCGATGTTTATGAACGCCTGAAAACAAACGGCAAAGCGATGAAAATTACACTTTTGAGACTACCAAAAGTCAATAAAGAAAAATAATTCGATAGAACATTTACAGAGACAACAATTTTCATTCACGAAAACAAATGAGTATTCAAGTGTGTCTAAGAATCCTCAAGTCTTTACTAGTAAGCTTAAAGTTTATGTTTTAAGCCGCCGGTTTCCCGGTGTTGGCTGTTTTCAAAGATGAATTCACGAAAAGAAAATCGTTCAAAGCTTTCTTTCTACAGTCAAAATTATAACTAAATATTCTTCGGAAAGTTTTTTCTTTCTATTTAAGGTGAATTAATATATCGACTAAAGGCTTTTTAAAGTTCTGTAAGGTTAAGCTTATATCAAACCTCATACGAGGTTAGATCAGTGTCTCAGTCAAATCTTAATACAAGCATGCATAAACTAGCTTCATAAACTGTGCCGCTGGACTTCATGAAATTAGATTTAAATACAATAATTACTCAGGCTTACCATATTTCGAGATGCAGCTCCTAAAAGCTATCAAGTAAGGCAAGGATCGCTTGAGCCTTTATAATTCTCGTACGCATCCAGCAAGGTGAAAAACAAAAACGATGCTATCCGAAATCGGATTATCGGCTTTGACAAGCGACGCATTTTTTAACCAAAAACCCAATAAACAAACCAGTCATGAATAAGAGAACACTCTTGTATTTCATTTTGTACATCCAGTGGAAAAAGACAGTTAAAAACATCACAAGTTGACTCAAAACTATGTCAGCTTCAGCTGTCAAAGTAAACAACGTTGAAGATGCTGCATAAATTTTACGCATGAACTCACCTGTCAAATTTTAACCAATCAGAGCATAAAAATTGGACGTGGAGCGTGACCAACAAGTACCCATGGTAAGAAAAGGTCTTCCCCGCCTGTATTTTAAAAACACTGGCTGAATTTTTGCGTCTGAAGTCAGTTTGAAATCAAAATCGTAATAGTGCGGGGTGATACTGACATAAACACAACATATTTGATATGAATCTAAAACAAAAGTAAACGTGAGCCTGCGATCATTTGAAAACGAGTAAATTGTCAGCGGATAACTTCAAAAAACTACTCGACCTCGATGGGTCGACACCTGAGCCCGCGATTCGGTCAGGTGATAGTGGTCAGCGGATATCCTGTTTTGACAGCTGTCAATTGATGACAACATTGATGTGTAATCGGCTTTCTCCTGGGCTCCCAAAGTAGCTAGAAAGTGTGAGAGTAAACATTGGTATGCCTGTGGTGCGGACGGTCGGTCGGTCGGTCGGTCGGTCGGTCGGTCACGTGATTACCAAATTTTCTGGGATGGGTAGATTTCCTTAGCAATGGGGCTCCGCCCACGCGCGCGCCTCGCGCGCGTGGAGCTCCGCTATTACACGGGGCGATCCAGTTTATCCAAAGAAGTGGTTTACAATGCATTCCATACCATGCACTTATTGTGGTAGCCCGTTATGTTGTCCATCTTTATCACTGCTTGGTGCTCCTTTGGTACAAAGCCAGAGATTATTGAGGTGTCGCAAGCGACTGCAGATTAGCTGCCCCCACTGATTTTATTAGAGGCATCTCGGCCAGGAAACTGACTAGGTTTATGGATGCGGATCCCTAATCAAATCAAAGCAAATCACTAGTTTATTGTCCCTTTTGCAGTCAGAAGACTGAATTGTAGGATACCTTACAAGCTGTGATATATATACCAATACGCTACATTGATTGACAAGATTAATATTTAACACTAACAAAATTTAAGAAACGTTCAGTCCTTGTGGCCATGGGCCTGCTAGAACTCCTTGATCTTAGACACACACTGGTAGGTATAGGTACCACTCTCTTGTGTATTACTGGGTTACCTGGCCGAACCTTACCTATAACTTTAAGGACGTCACTTGAAGGGATAGACGAGAGGGCCCTTCCTCGATCCTGAGACTGGGACTGAGTTATACGATTGCTGACAATTTTTCCGAATGGATCTTCGTACGTGAACAGTCAAATGATGAGCTCTTTTGATATACAGTATGTGTGCAGAGGCTACAATTATCTCTTCCCTCGAGTTGAATAAAGGTGAGTTTTAAAACGTTGCTTGGTCGTTTGCAGTTCTACTGAATTCGTAGAAAATTCGATTCATAGAAATTGCTGATGAAGCTTCGCTATTAATTGACAATGGGCCCTGTGATCTGTGTTCACGTCACATAGATGAAAGGTACCCCCAGTTTCAACGTTTTTTCTTTTGTTTAAAATATGATAACAATAATAACAAAGACATCAAGCTGTTGTTGCAGGATAAGAGATTGTTAAGAGAATTCCTATTCAGAGATCACAAGGCTCATACAATGGATTATAATACTTAATTATTATTTTTAAGCTTATTCTTATTTATTTTTGCCAGTGTTGGCCGGGACTCCTCTTCTTTGACAACATTACCTGTTATTCCAATCTTATGCCATTTCACCATACTAAGAGAATGTGCAAATTCTGTATTGCAATGTACAATCCCAGTTTGAAATGGACTATTGCATAATTGATATCAGCACTCCCCCTTGATTAAGGAAGTGAGCAAAGATCAATGGAATTCTCTAGGGGTATGTTGTAATAGTTTTGGAAATCGTTGGGGAATAGTCTTAAACATTGGAGTTGTTCAGGGTAAACAAAGAATTCATGGAATTTTATTAGGAAAAAAAAGTACTGTTCAATAAGTTCCTCAGGGGTAAATTCATATCTTAAGGAAGTCTCCCAGGTGAATGCAGTCTAATAGAATTCCTCAGGAGTAAGACGGAAGTTTATTATATGTTGTCAACCTGAAAGAGGGTGTGGCTATTAAATGTGATAGCCCAATTTTTTTCTGCCATTGAAGGAGGACAAAGCACACACAATGACCGCATGCAACAGCATGCAAGGACTGGACAGAGCAAACATGATGTGATTTTATTTAGTTGGATAGTAAACCTTTTATTCAATGGTTTATATTGTAAAAGTATAATGGACATGCGTGTTTTGCTCATTGCTTGCCTATACATGAAACCATCCAACACATGATTGATAGAATTCACATACGAAAGGTATTCAAAATAACTAAGAATCACGAATCACCAGTGCCACTAACAAAAGGAGGGATACAACAATCTGTTAGTATGCCAAGTTGTGATGGTTTCTTTTTGCATTACCTTGTATTAATATTGTGTTTCTGGCTTGACTGTTCATTAGCGACAGGCATGTGACTCATTGTTTGTGATAAATAAACAATTTTTTTCCTCTTAAAGGATTCATCAAAGAGAAGAGATTCTCCTAAGGCTTAAAATTCACATCCAATTTCTTCCTTAGATCCTTGGAAGTTATGAAAATTGGCAATTTTTCCATCTCTTAAGTTTTTTTTTTTGTAACAACCAAGAAAAAAAGTTCTGTCTCTGCTGTTTATTGAACTGATCAAACCAGAGAAAGAAGCTTTCAATGTATGTCAAGTTTTAAATTTACACAATATTTCTAGAACAGCCACAATAACCTAATCAATACTTTGTTACAGGTGTAATTATTATTTTATATTAATGTAATATAAGGTTTCTTGAAAGAATTGCTTCATCTACCGTATAAAGGGTAAAGGTTTTTGCTCACAACAGGAAGACTTGTTTTGATATCACATGAGTTTAAGTGTTTGTGTTTTTCTGGCTGCATTCAAAGCAGATGGATGGAATGCAGATTCAGGGATATTAGCACAATCTGGATGGTACCACTCACAGCATCCATAACACTTGACATACGCAGCGTTGTTGTTAGGCAATCGGCATGTGCAGTAAATAGGTACATTTTTGCCTACCACAGGATGAGCAAGCTCAACTGTATCATCAGGTGGTGGGAACTCGGTCATCCTTGAAGACTCCAGGCAGTCAACAAGGTGCTGGTGCATGGCTCTCTGGTCATATCTCTTGGTGGTGGGGTCACCACCATGGCATAGCGTGGTGGTAAAGGCTATAGCAAAGAGTGCACAGTCATTGTCGCCCTTCTGCTTTTGCACTTTCTAATTCCTAATTTTAACTATGTTGCCTTTGTAGTGCAACACTCTGCATGCGTGTTCTACTGTTTTCCTGGCAGGGCTTCCATACAGACTTTTATATACTTTGACTTCCCCAGTGGGACAGGAAATGGCACTGAGACACACGCAGTGTGACCCTGTGTTGATTATCTGTACAAATTCACTTGTAGCAGGAGTCACTAGATCACCAACAATACTTGGATCTTCCAAGCCATCAACTAAAGGAAACTGACTTTTCAGGAGATCTTAAGCAGCTTCAACCTCTGAATTTGTTAGCCATCCGGTGGAATTAAGAATATTGCTTTTACTGCTACTGTAAAGGGTGATTTGTCTGTGTCCTGATGTATTCTGGGGACTTATCCACACAGTGGGACTTGATGATGTTTCACTTACGAAGATTGCACTGTCTTGGATTCTTGGTACCTTTTTTTAGGCTCTTGTTTTGCACCTTTAGCTGTTGTTGTCTGCTTTCGTTTAACATGCACTTGTATTTTGCGAGTTTCAGCAGTATTTCTTTTGGTATTTCTATTGGCAGCAGGCAGCTTGTGGCCAAAAGGACAGCTGTCATCTTGTATAACTGTATAGCTTGGTGGCTTATGTTTGACAGGTGTAACACTCTTCATGTCACTGGTTCCAACTGCTGAAGGGTTGCTTTTATCTTGTTTGACTGCTGGGCTTCTGGATTGATTGTCTGAAACAGGTTTCAAGTCTTCATCTTTCATACTGCTCTTAAATGCACTGCTGACTCTCGAAGTGCCATTATCTTGTGTAACAGCTTCTCCTACTGGGCTTCTCAAATGCTTATTTGGTGCAAGGTCAGGGTGATTAAACTTCCCCTCTCACAAAATGTTTTCTTTAACTTCAAATTTTGACTAATATATGTGTACTTAAATTTTAGAAAGATAAACGATTTTCTAAGCCCATGAACATTACAACTTCACGCCGATTTAAGTGTGTATTTCAGAAATGGGCATAACCGCTGGATTTTGTACCCTGAAGGCTCAGTTTATTCCTCTAGACTTTCCCTTCGACAGTGCTCGTTTTGACTCGGTTCAAAGAAGGTGAGATTTTATGGCGGAAGACTCAGAAGCGAATTCAAAGGAATTGAACAATGGCTTAATTAAGCTGCCCAGGGCCACGAAGTTTTAAAGGTATCCTTTTGTTCTAAATGTGTCAATAAACTGCAGAGAATTATCGCACATATCGCGGTAGAAGTTTATGGATTTAAGTCTTTCGCAAAACTTCTTCGACTTGGGTACGTATTTTTCAAAAAGGAGAGTTTTGAGAGCTTCAAAAAGAGATCTTGAACGAGAAATTTCGACCACTGTGGACCGAGATTGGATTTTTTTTCTTGCCGAGGTTTCGAAGTAGAAAGCAAGCCGCTGAAGCATTTTTTCTCGCCTATTGCTTAATAAAATCCAGCCGGCCGAGAGTTATCCATACATTCAATCATAACAGTTATTCATTTCTCCAGAGCAATCAAACTATACAAGCGTTTCTACGAAATTGTTTTGAGGAATTATGAATTCCGCAAGTTTTGATCTGTCGATTACAGTTTTAGATATTTCCTGGCACTCTATTAGCTCCGTGAATCAAGTTGTCATGCAAATCAGTGAACTGACAATGCGCGGTTATTTCGGGCCCTGCAGTCACGTAACTGAAACGCAAGGTTTTTTCAACAAAAAAACTGAAAGGCAAGCGAAAACGTCCAAAAAAGTGAAATTACATGCTGATAAATCTGTGTCATCCCGTTAAATGCATTCACCGCTTGCGTTGTTTACATTTTGAAGAGAGTTGTTCGCTCTTGATTGCAGAGCGCAGGTTTTGATAATACTGAATGAATCAAATGTTCTAATAAATACCTTCCGCAGGAATTCTTTAAACGCCAAATTATTTTTAAGGCAAGGGAGTATTTAATAAAAAAAATACCATAGGAGACCAGGTATTTATAAGCTTTAATCAACTTCAAATTTATCAGGCTTGTTTCGTTTGTAATACGGTGCGTGGCAACCAGAGTTGTCCGCCACACTTAAAAGACTTGTAAGCGTTCCCACAGACCGCAGTAATTTAACAGGCAAGTCCGAGTATTTTAATGGATAAATTTAATACTCATCAGGTAACAATGGGGATTAAAAAGTCAATCAAGCAAAAAAATTCGAAACAAAAGAGACATATCGCACCTAAATCAAAGGAATTCCGCTCGTGGATTCTTCGGAAGGTAATCGACAATGGCAAGAACAATAGCCTGAATATATGAATACTTGATAACCCCAAAATTTGTAATGAACACGCACGGCAAGAGAGTTCTCTATAAGATAATCATTTCTTTGTTAATTGGATCAGTATGGATAAGAAATTTTTGAACTGCTGTCTAACCAAGCACTCACTCCTACTATTATTGCTTGCAAGTCTGTTACTTTTGGTCATACAAGCGAAAGGGGGGAGACACTGTAATTGTGAGTGGGGCCCTTGAATCATCTTGAAAGCACAGAATACCCTGTTTACCGGGACAAAAGGGTTATACAGCAGTCCAAAATTGACATCAAAATTTATCAACCCCCCAAAACACAATGACCTGCAAAATGAAAAGAATATGTTTTTGTTGTGCTTGAACTCCTTTTAGCCCTAATCTCATTTATTTGATTCCAGTCACGAAAGCTGGTACAAGCTTTAACCTAAGAAAAATAAGGAAAACGTTTTTCTTCTAAGACCCACAGCTAATTTAAGTTGAGAATATTACAAGATACTGAGGGTCGAAATGGAGCAAACAGAAAGGCCTGCACCACACGTAGAAATCAACATGCGATCAAACCAAAGGGAAAACCAATGGGCATGGAGGCCCTGAAAAGGTATACTTCTAGCTATTAATGCTCCCATGCTACCATGCAAATGGGAGTCCACTAAAATGAGTTGTCCATCAGAGTCAACAATCATCAGCATTGCCATGAAGTGCACAAAAATGATGTGGAATGAGGACTTTTTTTGAAGTATTGAATGCACAATGTTCTCTAGCTGATGCAATGGCTGTGCTCCAAACACATCAAACTCTTGTGCGATACCACCAACTTGGCAAAGTTCTCCCACCGCAGCTATAGCACCCTCTGGAGAAACATTTACACCTTGCCTGTCAAATAGCTCATCTTGTATGCTGTTCCCCATTCTTATGGCCTCCTTCAATGCCTCCTGCTATTCTGTATTGAGGTAATTATCTTTGATGTTCGGTAGAGTGTAATCTCTGTATAGTGATGCAAAGTTCAAAACTATAAAGACACAAGCATTGCTGCCATTTCGGCCGTCCAGTGTAGACTGGCTAATATCTCTTGGGAAAAGCCACTCTGTGATCCTGTGACCAGCATCAGTTCCTACAACGTGGTTTCTTGGTGATTCTGCTGGGACACAGACGGTTGGCTGGCAGGCAAAAGATACTGCTGTTGTTGTGGAAACTGAGTAAGTTGGGTGGTTTTGAATTCTTGTGTATGTAAAGGAAACTGAGGCAACAGATGCTGGGGCAGTTGTGTTCCATGGTCCAGCTGTTAATATCACTGAATTTGAGGGAGTTGGTTGAGTACAGGTTCTTGCCGAAGCTGAACAAACCGAGGAGGTATGGTGGCTAGGTGTTGTCACCACTGACTGTGTAATAACTGGGGAAGGTATTTGGCTGGGTACCCATGTTGATGTTCCCAAACAAGTGGCAGTTGTTTGGGTGGGAAGTGAAGCTGATAGTTCAAGTACTGACCTAGTTGGTTGGGTGGTTGATGCTGGCTGATTGGACGATGCTGTAGTTCCTTCACATGCGGTCTGTAAATGTTGAGCCATCCTTTCCATTTCTCTTTTGCATTTCTGGTGATAGAAACTCCACCAGCTTTTTATTTGGGAATCTTTCAAGGCTTCCAGGCCCCTCTCTCTCATGGTAGCAGCACATTTACCTGTATCAGCCCGAATGCCGTATTTGGCTTGTCGATTGTAATACTCAATCATAATCTCTTTTTGCTGTTGAGTGAACACTGTGTGCTTTGCTCCCCCAGTTTTCAAAGCATATCCACACGGAATGAACCGCTGAATTTGAGGAGTGACAGGCTTGAAGCAGTGGGTTGCTGGCTGTTGGGCTGAGTTGGCGTGCTGAATGAAATTTACACTGTAGTTTGGACAGTCATTACGGTTAGCAGTACTGCAGGATGATAATGGAATGTCTTCATTTGTTGTTTCACCAGTTGAACCAGCGACTGGACGAGTGTGGCCTCCACATGGCTGGAACTGAAAGCTGCCATAAAAAGAAATATCTTTGAGAGTGCCAAGCTTCTCTTGGGTCTTACTTCTATCTATGGTCAGCTTCCTACATGTCACATTCTTCAGGGACTATAAAATAAAAATATAAAGCAATAACAATTATTATTTTAACATCAAAAATATGGATTCAGCTTCTCTTAGTAATAAATAATTAGGTTAAACATGGTTTTTAAGGCTTAATGTAGATAATCAAAGACAACCCCAGAACAGGTTATCTACAAGTAAGAAATTCTTTGAGTAGCTATTGTGTAACATCAAGATTCAGCTAACCATTTCTCCCCAGACAAAGTAACTTTGTGTATCCTGGGGTCAATTTAATAAATCTTTCACACGTGTAATTTACAAGTGTAGCCATTGTTGTAGAGTCTGAGAACAATAGCTACATTGACCCCTGCGGTCACTTAAATAAAACTTTGACAAGTGTGATTTACGAGTGTAGTTATTGTTTTCAGACGCTAAAACAATAGCTACACTCATAAATTACACCTGTAAAATGTTATATTAAATTAAACCCTGGCTGGAGTTTACTAGTCATAAGATCTAAAGATAGAATTAAATGTTTTTATAAACCAGTTCAGCAAAATAAAGAGAAAAATGGTAACTTTTTTAAGATCTTGTAATAACTTAAAATCATACTTTTCTTTTCTTTGTAGTACGTGATTAATAAATAACCTGGTAGTGACTGTGATCTTTTTCTTCTTTTGAACTATCATTCGGTCTTGAAGCAATACAGTCATCTCTCTCTAAGACAAACACCATCAGGACCTTTCCTGACTGTCCATCATAGTTAGGTATCCGTGAAGAGAGAGCTGACTGCAATAGATAAAGTGTATAACTATACAAAAGCTAAGCATACCCCAATCAACTCTCCAAGCTGATTTCCTGTCTCTAAATTGTTTCCCACTCTCACCCACCGCACAATTTTGTGAGAGATAAGGGCAAAGTGAGTGTCCAGCTGCGACTTCTCTTCTCCCGCTTCAAAATTGTTGTACTCAACAAGGGTCAAGTTGAAGAATTCGTTAACTTCAGCCAGGTACAAAATGAAACCAGTATTATGATAATGGGGACCATTATCTAAAAAAAAGAAAGAATACAATTTTAATCCAGGGAAACATGAAGTATTTACTTATATGTGGCTGGTTTAAAACCATCTTTCAATTTCTTTTGATGAGGTTCTTATTATAGGCAAGTACACAATAAAATTATTGAAGAAGGCACACTTAATATTTTTTTCATTCCAACAACAACAACCACCACAAACACTGACAAAATTCAGTCAGTCTTCACATCTACACTGTAGTTTAAGGTGAGAATATGCATTTACTTTTTATATTCATTCATTACTTTTACTCTCTTACAAAAAACCACCCTAGTATGCATATCACAATAAAAACCTGCATAAAGAACCTAGTGGTTAAAGAACCTGCCTGCATTGATTTGCCATTTTAGTACCCCAAAATATGCCGAAAACTATAGCCAAGCAAGATAAACCAGGTTCTCATATGTGGGTTACAGTAAAGTGTGCAGTGCAACTCTTTGAACACTAAGAAGTCTTTCTACACAAATGTTTATTCATCCCATTCACTTTTTCATTGTTCATTTTTGATATTTTATTTCCTTTTTTATTCTAAAATGTATGTTTAAGAGGATATCACTTTCTTTAATCAGTTTTATTGGGCCTTTCAAAATACAGTTGTGAATAAATGCTGTATATTTTTTTAACACAAAAACCCAAAATTTTGTTTGGGGGGATTGGCAATCAACAACTGAATCTTTACTAGTCTAACCTGCAGATAACCACCCAAAAATACAAGAACCTACTTTGCCTGACTTCAAAAAATGTAGGTACATACTGGAGGGTTTTTACTACTAACAAAGTGAATATGCCATTGCAAATCCAAGGCATTCACTAAATTTTACTACAAAGGCTCAGATGATTATGCAATTTCTACAAATGTGAATGTGTGGAAGACATGTACATCATTTAGTTTCATTGTTTCCTTTATTTAAGTCTGGTTGAGGTTTCAACCATGATGTAAACAATAGAATTACGGTGTAATTGAAACAAGTAATTGAAACCTGACCAAAATAAACTAGAGCCACTCACCAGAAAATAAATACACATGGTAACCAGGTAGTTCCTGTTCCAGCCAGCGAAAGCCAACATCCATTGCGCTCTGGCTAAACCAGGCATCTTGCTTTGTGTCTTCACTCCACAAATCAATTACCTCCGTTCTTTTTTACTCTTCTCCAATTTGGGCCACCACCAAAAAACCATGAAGAGAAAGATCCCATTTATTATACCAGTCACGCTGGATTTCACGACTATGGATGCCAAGTTCAAGTTTCATTTTATAGTCAACAATGACTACACACTCACCAGGCTGAAGATTGTTTAAAATGAATTTGTAATATTCTGACTGGTGCTTTGTGCGTAACAAATGGCTTACATACTGCTTATGAACTGATAGAAGACTGTCAAGCTCCTCTGTTAGTTTCCTTTGTTCCCCTGTATTTAAATTGGACAGCAAGTCTTTCACAGAGCTGGTCACTTCATAAATTCCAACGCCATCTGAGGAACTGTCATGACTTTTCATGCAGGAGCCAAATGCATGGTCCATGCAGAGTTCTAGGTAAGGTGAGTGTCTCTCCACTTGGTTTGAAAACTTTGTCTTCATAAAAGACTGGTGCTTCAAGACTTTTGCTTTCAGTTCATCAACGGAAATTGCAGAAGACTTCTGAATACCTTCATGGAAGGAAGTGAAGTTGTCATAGTTGCTATGGCCAAACTCATCGCATAAATTACACAGGCCAGCTAGCATTGTGTTGTAACGGAAATTGGGAGGCAAGTGCGTGTAAATATAGGTTCGGTTTACTCCATTTGGAAATTCAAGTAAATATTGATTTACAAGTTTTTTAACACTGTCTTTCCAGTAATGGATTGGAGTTTCTTGCCCATTCACAATAACACCCCTACACGAGGATGGCCTTGATGCATTGTCTCTCTCAAAAAATTCGGAAAGTTACCTCAGCACCTCAGGACTAACACACTGGTGAGAGAATTTAAACTTAGGAGGTGGTGTCCCACCACGTCCAAATAAAATACAATTGACTTTGGCTGCTGTCACCTTGTTCTGAGAGCAACCAAGCAGTTCCTGCAGCAATCTGTAGGGGTAGTCCATTGCCACAATTGACAGCAATCGACGCCATTCATCTGCATACGAGGTGAGACGACCAGTTGATTTTGCAGCATCAGTTCGATGTTTGGTTAAAAGGGGTTGACGGGCTAAACACGACTGCCGCTGTTTCATGATGTAATAGGTCTTTGACCTTTAGAGTTTAGCTCTTACAAGTATGTCTTTTAGAGATTTTCCTCTCCTGTAGGAGATGAAAGGTGGTTCTCTGTATATTTCGCTCAGCATTGGTTGGTTTTCGATTAAATGCCACTTGCTCATTAAAATATTTTTAAGGTTTGGCACTGATGGATTGTACTGTGTGACAAAAGGCATTAATCCGTTTTTCACTTTTTGCGGTTTTTGTTGAAGTGCCAACTTTCCATCTGTAAATTTGACCTCTGCGAGGACTTTGTTTACCAGATTATCTGGATAGCCTCGGACACGCAAGTGTGATCTGAAATTTTTAACATTTTCTTCAAATGTTGCCTTTGAAGAGTTGGTTCTAAGAAGCCTAAGGGCTTCGCCTTTGATAAATCCTTTTTTCACGCCTGGAGTGTGACAGGAGGAAAAATGCCTGTATTGAAATGTCTCAGTCGGTTTAAAGTGCGTACGGATGTCAAAGATTGAATCTTTGTAGAATCTCTCGCCTTTAAAGATAGTAGTGTCTAGGAAGTTTGTTTTCTCTTCTGATATTTCAGCCGTGAATTTTATGGTAGGATGGTGCCTGTTTGCTTCTAAAATGAATTGGTCTATTTCGTCTCTGTTCGTGTCCCACAGGGAGAACATGTCATCGATGTATCTTTTCCAGTCGAGGGGTTTTATCTTGCTTTTATTGATAATTTCTGTTTCTACCGTGGACATAAAGATGTTGGCAAAAGCAACTGCCACTTTTGTTCCCATTGCGGTACCATGAGTCTGGAGATAGTTTCTTCCATTGAACTGGAAGGAGTTCTCCTGTAGTATAAGTCTAAGCAAGCCTCTGAGTGAATTTGTAGGAATGTGTGTGTCGTTCTTATAGAAGGCTTCATATGCTTTGCATACAGTGTTTGTTCCTTCTACTCGAGGAATATTGGTGTACAGGCTGGTAACATCCATTGAAACTAGGATCGCATTGTTTGGAACTTTCCTCTTTTCTATAAAGTTGATAAACTGTGTGGTATCTTTGAGGTAGGATTTTTGTACTTTAGTGATAGGCTGTAGGATGTGGTCTAAAAATGATGATATACGTTCTGTTGGGCCATCGCAGCCCGAAATTATAGGTCTACCAGTTAAAACTGGTTTGTGAATCTTTGTTAGCGTGTAAAAAAATGGTATACGCGATGGGCTACGTGTTTGAGAAAGCCACTTCTTGGTCATTGCGTCTATATGATTTCCCTGGTGGAGATCATTGATTATCTCTTCCACTCTTCGAGAGGTTTCTTGGACCATTGGTGTTTTGAGGGGCATGTAGTTTTTTCTATCATCAAGCTGAACTTGGCCCTCTTGTATTTTATCTGTTCTGTTCATGATGACCGTTGTTGTGCCCTTGTCTGCCTTTTTTATGATTATTTCTGAGTTTGATCTCAATTCTCTAAGCGCTTTACGCTCTTTGAAAGGCAAGTTATTTCGTGGCTTAATTAGTTCAATCTCAACGAGTTGAACTTTAACTTCCTCTAAATAAGTTTCTAGCGGAACTGATTGTTGAACTGGAGGTTCCCAGTTTGATTTAACGTGAAAGGGGTGTTGTGCACTCTCTTTGTTGTGGAAAATATATCGGAGGCGCATTCGCCTCACGAACTGTTTAAAGTCTAGCAGCAATTTTTGCCGGATCCGATTCTCTTCTAGAACCAGTGTTTGGATAAAATTCCACCCCTTTGATAGTAAGTTGATCTGGTCAGTTGTCATTTTGCAATTTGAGAGGTTTTTAATGTATCTTTGCTTAAACTGAGTGTTTATCCTGTTTGCGTCTCGCCTCCTATTGCTTCTTCGCGAGTGTTTTTTTTCATTTCTGATTTTTCGTTTTTCTTTCTCCCTCCCTTTGACTGAAGAGTCCGTAAATACACAGGGATAAGATTCACTTTCTTTATTTTGTAAAGCTTTCATCATTTCTTCCACTTTCTTGATTTTGTTTGTTAGCTCTGTAGCTAAAACTAGTGCATTCTCAGTGCGGTTTTCTTTTTCCGGTCGTGGCTGGTTCTTAATTTTATCAGGATTGTTCGTTTTCTTTCCTCTGGTTGCGTTTGGTCTTTGCTCCAATTGTTTGAGCTTGATTTTGTTGCTCTCTGCTCATCCGTAGTGGTAGCGTGTCAATGTGCTGATAAGTTTCTGTTCACCTTCTCTGCGGATGTGGCTGATGTCACTTTTGAATTCATCGTCCGGCACGATGTTGACTCGTACGTTGTACCTCAGGTCTTTAGGGCACGTTTTCTTCTTGGTGTGTGCCTTCAGTTTCTTGATAGACGATTCGGATTTTTCAACTTTCTTTTCCAGAGTAGAGGCGCTGTATCTGTTATAGCGAGGTCTCTTGTTGGGGATGTTGTCTTTCCTTCCTTCTCTGTGGCTTCCTTCTCTCATCAACGGGAATTGCAGAAGACTTCTGAATACCTTCAAGGAAGGAAGTGAAGTTGTCATAGTTGCTATGGCCAAACTTATCGCATAAATTACACAGGCCAGCTAGCATTGTGTTGTAACGGAAATTGGGAGGCAAGTGCGTGTAAATATAGGTTCGTTTTACTCCATTTGGAAATTCAAGTAAATATTGATTTACAAGTTTTTTAACACTGTCTTTCCAGTAATGGATTGGAGTTTCTTGCCCATTCACAATAACGCCCCTACACGAGGATGGCCTTGATGCATTGTCTCTCTCAAAAAATTTGGAAAGTTACCTCAGCACCTCAGGACTAACACACTGGTGAGAGAATTTAAACTTAGGAGGTGGTGTCCCACCACATCCAAATAAAATACAATTGACTTTGGCTGCTGTCACCGTGTTTGGAGAGCAACCAAGCAGTTCCTGCAGCAATCTGGAAGGGTAGTCCATTGTCACAATTGACAACAATCGACGCTGTTCATCTGCATACGAGGTGAGACGACCAATTGGTTTCGCAGCATCAGTTCGATGTTTGAACTGGTCTGAAGTAAACTCTCCTGTCAGGCTTATGCGGGAATTCTTCACTGAATTTCCAATGAAGATCTTTGCTTTCTGACCAGCAGCTCGCTTTCTTGCTTCCGCTGCTTTCTCCTCGTTCCCCTACGAATTTGATGTGGCATCAGAAAGCTCAGAAGAAAGCCCAAAGGTAGTACTCCACTTCTCGCTTTTGACTGTCTCGTTAATGAAATCAGGCACCTACTTTTTTTTCATAACAAACAATTTTCAAGGCTGCAATGTTCATAGTGTCAATAACTTCAGACCTGCATTCACGTTTTCTTCTCTTGCAGAGCTCTTTGTAGGGGACTGTTAAAGCCAAAGGACGCTGTATTACCTTTTTGCACATACCTGTAGGCTGGCATGTTTTTTACATGTATATCATCATGGGAGCAACTAAGGTCTGTAACATCCTCAGTGTCTATGGAAGTGGCCTCTGGGATACACACAAGTTTCTCAGAGTTCTCTCCAACAAAGGCACTAGCACCATTCAAGAGGGGTTGACTACATTCTAAATCTACGACTGGAAAGTCATCAACATTGGCCACTGTCTCATTGTCACCTGGTGTCACACAAGGTTCCTTTGGGAAAGAGTAAAATAGAATAAAATTAAGTTGCCATGATGTTGGGTAATAGCAAACAATTTGCAGTTTGAAGGCATACAACTTAATATTTCTAAATTGTCTGGGATGGCTTGAGGTGTTTGTGCATTTATTAGTCAGCTTCATGACATGGAGTGAATCTATTTATGAAGGCAATCAAAAGTGAGCATGAGTAAGCTAAAATAATTTTTAAAAATGGCCATCCTGGCTTTGTATGTCAATGTTTAAAGTATGTAATTTACACCCACAAAACGTGTCCGTTATATTTTGCAGAATCAAGAAAATCAACATCTACATGTATGCGTGCAATCATTATGCAGTGAGAAACTGCGAAAACATTTTGTCATACGCGCGTCCATGATAAAGAAAGATGCAGCCCACACTTACCGCGAGTTTTTGACACTTTAAGTCAATTTGAACCCTGTATCTGCAAGAAAAACAGTTTTTCTCTTCCTCCCCTTGCTGTTCAAATCGCTGTCGATATCCAACCACCTGATTTCTTCCCGAGAAGATCTCAAGTGATCACTGGTCACTTCACCATGCTTCCACTCCACATGGCGAGGACAACAACACGAAGAGACCAAGGGCATTTGGAGGACTCCGCGGCCGTTCGTAGAAAAATATTTACACCTATTTACACTTATGACTTATTTACAATATATACAAGAACTATTATACAATTATGCATCGGCTGAAGTTCTCAGAGTCGTTAAAGAACAGAAGAAACACCAAAACTCGAGAGGAAACAAATGGCGGCCAAGGCTGTGTAATATGAG